TGTAGCTGTACCCGTTCCTTACAGGATAGGCCTATCGACTTGCTGCCCTTCCAGAAGATTGCAAACTATGAATTAGTGACATGATGTGTCTTCACCTTTGTCTTTAGAGGCCAAGGCTGAACTGCACTGGGTTGGCAGTCCCTGTGGATGTCTCCTGCAAAAGCTGGAGTGGGAAGTGAAGGCAAGAGAATCCTTCCTAAAGCCAGTAAATGTTCAGATCTAAAGACAGGTCGCATTTTCAAGTAATTTGTGCTGGTTTTCAGCTGAACAGATCAATAAGTGAAGCTCTTGCCCTCAGGTTTTATTCCTGGAGAAGGTGAACGTCCAAACCCTTGTCCTTTGCCTTCTGTGATCTGTGTGGCTAAGATCTTACTTTTTCTTGTAGGCACGGAAAAATGAACTGGCCATTGAAGACATGGATGGTGGCACTTTCACAATCAGCAACGGAGGGGTTTTTGGGTCACTCTTTGGGACACCTATCATTAACCCACCCCAGTCTGCCATCTTAGGCATGCATGCCATCGTCAACAGGCCTGTGGCTGTGGGAGGCAAGGTAGGTGGAACTGCATCAGAGGTTTCAGTGAACAGAGGGGAGGGCTCAGCGAGATGAGGACTATAGCCCATATGCTTTTACAGGGGGTTGGTGTCAGCTTCTAAAAGGCTTTGCTGGGAAGGAGGACCAGAGACTAGTGGGTGTAGGGCAGCTTTGCTGGCGTTGGTACTTACCTGAGGTGTGCAGGGGGTCTTGTCCTATCGGTGAGGGGGAGAACTGGATAATCTGCTTAGGTGTGAGGAAGAGGAGGAGGCTGTAGCCTTTGCAGTAGAGAACAGCTCCGGAAAGGGACCTAGTCTTGTGTGATGTGCACCCAGCCTGGCTGGTGGTCAGTGCCTAGGTGGGTGAGTGTGGGTGGGTAATCCTGCCAGACAGTATACATCCAGAAGGCCCTGAGCCCTGGATTCAGGATAGGAAAAAAGCCAGGTCTCCCCTGAATTCACAGGAGGGCATCATGCAGGCAGTAGAGCTGACCTCACTAATGCCTGCCTTATTCCTCCCCTTCAGATCGAGGTGCGGCCCATGATGTACGTGGCGCTGACGTACGATCACCGTCTGATTGACGGCAGAGAGGCAGTGACTTTCCTGCGCAAGATCAAGGCAGCGGTGGAGGATCCCCGCGTGCTGCTGCTCGACCTGTAGAGCAGCCATACCCCCACACAACCCACCCAGGGCAGGGCCGCAGCACCAGCAAGGGCGATGCAGGGCATTCAGGAACTGGCAGGGGTCATTCCAGTCTCCCTCCCTCTGCTGTGATTTGAGCTGTCCCGGAGGGAATTGTGGGGATAGCTCCTACCTCCTTCCCTGTTCTGTTCAACGAAGGTTCAGTTTCTCATGAGGATTGCTATGCAGCAGCCAACCACTGAATGGCACTGCCTTTCCAGAGCCATGTATATAGCATCCTCTCCCTCACAGCACCAAACTCTCACCTCTAGCTTGTCCTACACCAGTGGAAACTGCTTGCTGCTGCTGTGCTAGGCTACCCTTCCCTGCCACTCCAAGGTGGATTCAGCTTTATTTCCTAGCACTGAGGTCCCTGGGAGGGAGGGGAGCGGCTACTGTTTTTTCTCTGTTTTGCTCGAAAATATTTCGCACTCATCTGCCTTGCAAGTGCAGTCTGGGCACCCCCAGGTCGCTTGCAGCAGAGATTTTGATCAGAGCAGGGATTTGAAGTAGGTGTCATGCATCTGACAGTGCCCTAGTTACACTCCCTCCACAGACAGGAATGCAGCGATGGCAGCCCCCCTGCCATCCCCTGATTTCCCTTGGAGATCATTTGTCTCTCTCCAACCTGGTCAGTATGGTGTGAATGTTCATGTCTGGGTGGGCAGAGCCCGTGATCTCTGTGGAGGTAGCACTGTTCCTGGGGGGACAACCCTTTCACCATTACATGCCTGACACGGGGGTAAGAACCAGCCCCCAGCAGCTGTTCTTGAATCGCAGCTCACTGACGGTGGATCTGACTGCTGGCTTCCTGCGTGTGAGGGCTTGGCCCTCTACCAGCAAAGAGACAGCTGGGGAGGGCGAGGTCTTGAAGTGTAATGTATATCCCAGCCCAAGGCTGCTGGTTTTGGGGGGAGGGGGGACAGTCCTTAATCTGATAGCGCACACATGTATTGGGGAGTGAGGGGGTTGCTAGTGCCTGCAGAGTCTATTACTGTTACCCTCTACACAGAACTTGTAACTAAAATATTTAACACAGCAGATTTTAAATGAAATAAAACTGGACAACGACTGCGAGGTGGGGTGTGCTTGAGGGGGTGAGCAGCAGCTCCTGGGCGAGGACTTGGGCACGAGTTGCATCCCCAGTGTAGCATAAGAAGCCTGTTATCTGATGGTGAGAGAAAAGAGGGAATGGGAGCTGAGCCCGTCCCTAGTGGTACTAAATTGAGGCTTCTCTGGCTGTGAATTCTACTATCCTCAAACTCTCTTTGGCACATAATTGGCTCTTCCCAGCAAAGATGAGGTTTTTCAGGGCTTGAAGTCATCCTTTTTGTGGTTTACCAACAGAACTGTTACAGATGGCAAGGAAATCCCATTATTTACTAAATGGCACGGTGTCAGAGGGAGAACTAGGCCAGGCTCTTAAAGTACAGGTGTAGAGCTGGTTTGGGGAGTGTTGTAAATCATGAAAGTGGGGAAGGGCTGTTAAGGGTTGCAGAGGGAAGAAGGAGGCAAGATCAAAGAACTGTAAAGCGAAAGCTGTCTGTGGTGCTGAGAGCATTTCCCCAAGGAGCTGTCCCTGTTGGAACAATATGAAATTGTTCCTGGATCATGGCAGGGTTTTTCCAGCTCTGACATCAACTTCAGAGAATGGTTTGCTGTTCCCAACTACGAGTGAAGAAGGCAGCCCCTTTTGACAGAAAACGATTGCAGTCACAGCTGACATGCTGACAAAAGGGAAAGCGGTTCCTAGTACTGGTTCCTGCAGCTTCCTGGCAGCTATGAACAAACCTGTGCAGGGAGCCAGCTTTCCTCTGACTGTGGTTGAGGTAGAAGGGTAGGAAGAGAGAGAGAGGAAAAACCCTTTCCCTGTGCTGTAAAGGAAGGGCAAAGAGTCTGGCTGCTCTTGCACAATTAAAATGAATGGAAGGGAAGGTTCTGATGAAAAATACTGCTAGCACCCGGTCCCCCATGCTGGTTTAGGATACAGAGGGCCCCCCCTTGACTTTGTACCTGAACCTGGGGAAGGGCAATGCCTGTATTCTGTCTGTAGCCACAATAAATGAGGCCTTTGAACTATCCAGGGAGTGAATGTACAGTCAAGCTCTTAAAATGATGCAGCCACAAACTGCTTTATTTCATTTGCCCTGTTGGGGCTTGCTGTAGGAGGGTTGTGCAGCTGCTGCGTCTGAAGCTTCCTTTTTTGACCCTCCTGGGTGATCTTTGTTGCAAGAAGCCATGCTGTGGCTGAACCTCCCCCAAATCCCCAGAGTAGGAGGCTGGTGGCCAAAGGCAGAGCCTGCTACGGGAAGGTTCAGCCAGTGCAGGCTGCCGAAGAGAGGAAAAGCCCCAGGCTTAGCTGCTCCTGGCATCTGGCCCGTTCTGGCATTAGTGGTCAGATCCTTGGCAAGTCCTCCTGCTTCTGTACAGCCTCTGACGGGTCCCTGCCTTTGCTGGGGTGGGGCGGGGAGATGGTTTTCTCCCGGGCTCTGCTTCCCTCTGGTGGACGAGCAGCAAGGAGCAGCGTGGTACTGCTGGTGGCAGGCAGGAGCTGGAACCAGCTAGCCACAGAAAAGTTTGGCTCGTGCCATTAAATCGTTACTGCTGGGCAGAAGGGAGCAATGGGAGGGAGCGCTGGGAGAGGAAGGCCAAAATTACACTGCTGCCATTGCTTGCTCATCAGTCAGCCCATGGCTTTGACTTGCACAAATGAGCACAGCAGCTTCTGCCTTGGGCTGCTAGCTGACACCTTTTATTCATGCTTCTTTTTTTGTTCCATCCTGGTTTGTATTTACTCTTATCCTCCTTCCATCAGGGCTGGTTCTCAGAGTTCATCCCTTTAAACCCTTGCTGTTTGTTGTACCATGAATGACCATATTCAAAGCATAAGAACAAGGGCAGGGGGGCTGCTGTCCTGCCAGGAGAAAGGAGTCCCCAGGCACGGGAGGCTGGTGCCAGAATGGGTAACGACGATAAAGTCAAGGCTAGAAGAAAACACAGGCACTCTGTGCATTTTCCCACTTCTGAGCTGCAGCCACATGGCTCTGCAGATCCAAGAGGCGGTGAGGCAGGCAGGGGCACAAGGGGAGAAGGCCAGGCACTTGGTGCCACCTTTGTGCTGGTCGCCTGCCAGCACCTGCTGGGTGATGCTAATCCAGGGCTCCCAGACAGGTTTCAGACAGATTTGGGGCCTTCCTTTGTTCAGCCCAGGTCTCCCTGCTCCAGCTCAGAAACAAAAGGACACTTCTGCAAGTGATAATGAGTAGTTTATTCTTTTTTCAGAGGGGGAGAAGAGCAGAGGGCTCCCTCCTGTCTCACCGCGCAGCAGGCGTTACCCACACACACATGCAGCCAGGGACAGGCACAGACCCCAGGCTTTGGCATCAGCCAGCGGGACCCCCAGGAGATGCACTTGGAAGACACAAAAAGTAACAGGGCAGGGGATCACTGTGGTAGCAGCAGAGACAAAAAATATAGGGAGGGATGCCCCAGAAGGGGAGCATGGCCTGTCCCCGGGGGGTAGGCACCTGGGCTCCCTTTCCCACCAGGAAGGACATAGAGAAGAGAGCCTGGCCCAGACCGCAGCCTCCTCTCAGAGATGCCAACAAACACAAGCAGAGATAGAACATTTAAGGCTGCACAAGCTTCATGCATACCCCCCCCACCCTCGGGCAGCCCTTGCAGGCAAACTTCCATTGGCAAGGACATCTGCCAGGGCCACCTGTGGTCAAGGAGTGCCAGGGACAGTGGCTGTGCCCAGCTCCCTGCAGGAAGGAGAGCCTGCCTAGCCCACCAGCTTGTTCCATGGGATGCTGCTGAAGAAGGAGTGGGACTTCAGCTTCGCCATGCCACCTCCTCCAGAGCCCAAACGCTGCTTTGGGTTGTACTGTAGGAGCTGCAGAGAAACGGGATGGGACAGCAAGAGGGGGAGATGGGGCCCCTGGAACAGCTACCTGGGCTGGACCCTCCCTGCCATCCACCCGAGCCACTCACCTCAGTGAGCAGTGAAGTGGCAGCCAGGCTGAGCCCCTCTGGCAGATACAACTGGGTGTGAGGTTGAATTCCTGAAGGGTGGTTTTGGGACAGGGGCTGCAGGAGGCAGAAGGGTGTGGTGAGCGGAGGCACTGAGGAGGGTAGGAGCACCCTGCTGAGCCTTCATCATCACACAGCCCCAGCTCTACAGAGCAGGATTTAAAAGTCGGGGTCCTGGGCGCCCAGAGACCACGCACTGGCATTAGGAATCACGGGCCTGGTGTAACCTGGCACAGTGCTAAGGTGCCAGCAGGGCAAGGCACCCTCCCCGCCCTGCATGGCAGGGAGCTGTTGCTACCGTGTCATCTCCTCCCCCCTCCTTGCACAGCTCCTCTGCCTCTTACCACTCCTGTCAGCAACTCGTACAAGAGAGACCCAAAGCTCCAGCAGTCAGCTGCTTCAGTGGGCTCCGCGATTCCCCCCACTTCTGCAGAAAGAGCCAGAGAGGTGTTAGACCTAGAAGCAGGGTGGGCCAGCAGCTGTGCTGGGCAGGTCTTGCTGCCTGAAGAAACCCCTTCTCCCCTGGTTGGCAGCACTGGGCCGAGAGCAGGGGAAGGCAGGGGACACACTCCTTACCTGGGGCACTGTACAGCTCTTCCTGTGCCTGGCTGCAGCACTGGGGCTCCACCTCTGTCCACTGGCCAAAGAAGGTGAGATAGACGTGACCTGCAGAACAGCACCAGAGCCAAAAGTAGAGAGGTTAGGACAAAGCTAGGGACTTTGGTCAGAGGACAAAGCCAAGCCATATCCTCACAACTAGGAGCAGCCAGGGCACAGGGCCCCTGCTGTGCCCTGAACACAGAGCCACTGCACATTTCCCTGGCCTCCCAGTGCTTGCCCCAGATGCCCAGCAGGCACTCGCAGCTGGCAAGACTGGTTAGGTGGGCTCCAAACTCACAGACCTCAGCGCAGGCTGCAGTAAAGAAAAAAGCAGTTTTTAAAGGGGGAGGGAGGAAAGGGGAAGGTTAGCTTTCCCCTTGCAAAGCACTCTGCATTTTTCTTTTCCTAAACAATTTGTACCTCTCCAGTTCACCCAGATGTTGCCAACTGAGCAGGGACTTGCACTCAGCTTGCAATGACAGTGGTACCTGTGGCTCAAAGGAACAGGATGGCTCTAGAATACCCCAGCGGGCAGTAACTACAAGCAGGGAAAAACTGCAGTCCCACTAACCTCAGGCACAGTTCAGCCAGTCTCAGCTTCCCTGTGCTGGGATTTCCCAGGCCGGCGTCCCCAACATGGGAGCAGGGGCAATGCATTCCTGTGGCCACAGCTCTGGACCCTCCTGCTGCAGAGCCATCTCTTGTAATAACTGCCTGGAAATCCCGACTGAGACTGCATTTCCAGGCTCAGAAACATCTAAACCTCCCCCAATTCCCATCCTCCCCCAAAACAAACTCAAGGAAGTCCGTGTCTCACAGAAATGGGGCAAATAGCCATCTTCCAGCCAAGAGGCCAACCTCCTCTTTGGGGCAGCAGCCTGGGGCACTACCTACCACTTGCATCGAGCAGTAGGTTCCTTGGGTTTAGGTCCCGGCACAATACACCCTGTTGGTGAAGTCCCTCTAAGGCCAGGAGGATTTCTGCTGCCCACAGCTGCACCTGCTCCTCCTTCACAGCCCAGGCTCTCCGGCCATGCCCACGGGAAGCCAGGGGCTGGCCCTGTCCTGATGGCAGCTGCTCTCTGAGCTGGCCACAGGTCAGGCTTGCTCCCCACGAGGGCTGCCGCACCACTGGGTCAGGCCCATGGGGCTTTCCAGAGCTGGGCAGGGCAACTCCGGCATGAAGCTGCCTCTGACCCGAGGTCAGGAGGGGCTGAGCCCAGGGGACCTCAGACACGTGCTGAGACGGTGGATCCCTGGCCCCTGGCTGGCCCCCTCTCACAGTCTTCGGTATGGAGGTGGGCGTCTGGGGAAGCCTTGGGTCTTGCAGGGAGGCTGCTCTCTCCAGTATGCAGCCCGTGCTGCTGGTTAGAGCATCCCAGGCGTAGATGACCAGGCCCTGGCTGTTAAGGTGGCCGGAGCCTTTAGCTGATGCTGCTGGAACATGGTCCATGACACTGGACACAGCCTGTGTCACGCTTAGATCTGGCCCTCCGGGTGCAGGCCTCATGCTACTGGCAGGGGCCCAGCGAAGCTGGCAGTGGTTCCCTGAGCCGGGGCCCGTGGGGTCAGGGGACTGCTCCCGAGGGGGCAAGGCGTCAGTGTTTCCCAGCACTCGGTGGGTTACAGAGCCTGGGAGGCCACTGCCTGTCCCAGCAGAGAAGATGGAGGCTTGGCTGCTGCCCTGGGAGCTTCCCACGCCGTCCTCTCTGCCACGGTCCCTCAGGGCTGGAACGGTGTTTGAATCGGCAGAGCCCTGCTGGACACAGTACTTGGAGCGGAGGTGAGACCACAGCATCTCCCCTGGAAAGTGGAGAGAAGAAAAAGTGATGGGGCAGAAAGCATCCCTGGTGTCCCCGCTGTGGACACGACCCATTCAGGCACAGGCCGAGGCCCACGCACTGGGACGTGACTGAGCATTGTTAATGTCCCCAGCAAAGCTCAAGTCCATGCAAAATATTCCCCAGCCCTAAAAGCACACCACACTCAATGCCACACCTCCCCCAGGACCTGGCACACCAAAGGCTCATTCCCCCCTCCTTTAGCAGCCCTGCTCCCTCTTCTGCACAGTCTCCTTGATCCCAGCTCTGCCACTTCCATGTCACAGGCCAGCCACATCGTCACACATGCCCCTGATCCCACTGCCATCCCCACTTTCCCCTGAAAGCCTTTCCTTTCCGCATGACAGCAATGCTAGAGAGCTCCCACAGCACGGCACAGAGTCCGTGGGTCAGCGACGAGCCAGAGCAACGAGCCCTGGAGCCCACAGCACACTGCCGGGGCTTCCCTGCCTCACCACATTTACCTGCTGGCTGCTTTCTGCAAATTCATCCTACAGCAACACATGAGGAGCTAAGGCTGTTCTCCAACACACGTCAGCCTTTATTTGTCATTGCTGGACTCCAGCTGCGGCTCCCTACACATCCATGCAACCAGCAGTGAGCAAAGAAGCTCCTTGTGACAAGCCTCCACCTTGTCACACTTCACCAAGATCTGGGACAAGCCCCAAGCTTGCCTCCTTGTTGTACCCAAACCCCAGTGTGCTCTCTGCCCTTTATGTCCCAATTCTCCATCTCCTTTCTTTGTTCTGATCTCAAAATCCGGTGTGGCCTCTTCTTTTGTAAAAAAAAATGTTTTATAAAGGTCTTATCAAAAGATTGTTTTGTTATACAACATCCAGGTGAACTACCTCACTTGGTTCTCCTTCTCCATCACTCTCCTGTCATGGACAAACAATGCCAGTAAAATGAAGAGGGGTTTTTGTTTTGGTTTGTTTTTTTTCCAGGACACTGGACCACATCAACCTCTTTACCTCAAAGCATGACCATTCCCTCCCATGGGACTCAGTGGTCCCTACGGCTAGTTTCAATATAACACCCCTACACACACACCCTCTTTCTCCTTGTAGGTCTCCACAGGCCCGTTTCTAGGTTACTTCCCCAGTCAGCTGTTGTCAAGCCTCTGGAATCCCCAGCTGAGCAGCTCCTTCCACAAAGTCTCCAAGCCCTGGCACCCATCACCCTCCTATGAAGAAGACAGCTTGTGCTGTCACTATAAAAAACAGTCCCCAAACCAGCAGAAGAAACATATTTGAGACTTTGAAAAAAGGGAGGCTGGGGATAAAAGCAGGATGCCTCACAGATGGGAGGCAGTGCTGTCCCCACTCACCCTGCACGTACTCCAGGTGGAGGAAGATGGAGTCCTCACTCACATAGTAACACAGCAGCTTGACCATGAAGGGGACCCCATGAGGGATGATGGTCTGTCGCTCACGGGTCTCAACGTGGGATTTGGGGAGGCTCTGAGGAGGTACAGGTAGATGGATGCTACAGCACAGTAGAGGCTCACACTCCCTTCAACCCAGCAGGCAGGAGGCCAGCCAGAAAGGTAGCGTGCCATCTGCGGAGCCTAACGGCTGCCGCTGTGTCACCAGCAATGGAGCTCCCTGTCAGTCCCCAGCACCCATCTGTGACAAGGCAGGGCTCTGCCATGGCACAGCGCTCCCCGCCTGCACAGTGGGGCCCGGAGGACACTGCTGGTCCAGAGCAGGGACCTTCCCCCACAACTGCCCCTCCTTCCTTCAGATGGGAACCCGTCATCCCAGCCCTCTCTCAGATGATGGCTGAGGCAGCCAGAAGAAGTTTTATGAACAATGAAATTCCCCTAACACTTCTATGATCTGCTATTTTCTTATCCTTTCAACTTTCTATCTATCAACTATCCTATCTCCTTTCAACTGCCCGAGCCATCTGCTTGGACAAGGAGGCTCTGTCAAGACAGGAAGAAGCAGGCAGATGAAACTGCAAACACCCACCTTAAGTATAAAGGTCCCACCAGTGGCCGGATCCTGGATGATCTGCACCTGGGAGCGGTATATACAGCACCGGTCAGAAGCGGTGACTGCTCCCAACCCAACCCACAGCCTATAGGAGCTACCCAGGGACTCAACTCTGGAACAACAAACTCCCACCCAGCTAGAGGAGGTTGATGGTGCTCAAACCCCTACTCTTGAAAGACAAACCCCAGGTTATTAGCAATGAGATAGCCACAGAGACAGGGAGTAGAGAGTTAATTAAAGAAAGAGGTGACTCCCACACCATTTTTGCTTCCTTCACAAGGAACGCTTTCAGGGTTTCACACACTGGCTCTGTCTGAGGTCTATGGGGTGCACTGGGCTGCCTACCTTGGCCTCGGCAGAACAGTACCACACCAGTCCTGACAAACTGAGAGGCAGGAATGTGCTAATGTGTGTACGGAGATGGTAAGCCACCTTCACTCCAAGATCATCAACCACTCATTATTTTATTAATCCGTATAGCTCATCCTTTGCTGAAGTCTAGATTATCCATAGGAGTCCACCACCATGGTACCTAGGCATCAAGCATTACTCCATGCATGGGAAAGAACTGAATGCATCAACCTCCTTGTAAATATCTTGGGAGATCTTGTAAGCAAAAGGAATGGGGACATTAACAGACTTCCCAACTAAGCCCTAAAGGGTCTCACCTCCTCGCCTGCAAATTTTCCTTGGTGGGAATGGTGTGGATGGTAACCCCCCCTCCATGGTACCCCCATCCCAGCTGCCAGGACCCTCAAGGTTACGCTCCCCTTTGGTCCAGCCCCAGCCTCACCTCCCCCAGTTCCAGGTCAAGCCATTACCTTATCGATCACTCCCACAACCTTACACCGTCTCAGGTTCTCCACTGCTGAGCTCAGCGTCCTGATCGGCCGGAAGCGCAGGCTGCTGTAACCCTGCAAGGCGGTGAGAGAGGAGGATGAGGGACCTAGAGATGCTACAGTCCATGAGAGCGGGTGGGAGAAGCCCCTGCATTCTCCAGAAGTGGTGTCAATACTGCCAGGCTGGTCAACATCCAGAGACAATGCTCCAGTGGCCATGGTTGATTCCTAACATCAGATGGATTGTTGTCTTGTCCAACTCCTGGATATATGAAGTTATCAGGGAAAGCCTGCACCCGCAGCAGATGTAAAATCACTCCAAAATTTGTACCTGGACCTGGACTACCTCAGCACTAAGGGGATCAGTACAGACGGTAGTTGCTGTTCTCCACTTGTCCTTCTCACCAGGCCCTGACCCCGCCCTGCTTCACTGCCCTGTCCCCTCATTAACTACCTCCTTCACACAGTGCAGCAAACAGCCAACGTCTTTGGTTTTCATCCAGATGGAAAAAATGATAGGGAAGATGACACTTTTAACATTTGACAAGGTGGTTCCCCCCGGTGGCTTCAGCCCCACCAAAAATAGCCATTTTCACTATGGCAGCAGCATGCTAAATACATACACCTTGAGGGTTTCCTGGCAGCGGCCCAGGCAAGCTGGGCCACCCTCAGCTCTTTGCTCCAGGTGGGGCAAAGGGCTGCCAGCTCCCTCGCAGCCACTGCAGCCACCGGGATGCTCTGCAGCTGATGTGTCTGCCATTTTCTCTATGCCACTTTACTGTGACATCTGGCAGAGGTGGCCAAGGAGGCTTACCAGGGCTGCTTTATGTGTCCCCAGGTTTCCCAGTGCCATAGATCCACTGCCTTCCCACCCATGCTGCCCCATGCCAGCCCCTCACCGTGCCAGTGGAGTTGCCACCCCCTGCAGCCCAGTGGAGGTGGCAGTTGAAGATCTCCTCCGCC